ACTTCTCCCTCAATCAACAAGAAATCTCCTGTGTGACGACGTCGAGAATGTTCCGCAGCCAGCAGATGGATGCGCGCAGCGCGCACAAGAGATTGGAATCGCGAATTCAAGAATGGGACGTTCTCCGCCGCCCGGTCGAAGGTCATGGTCGGCTCTTGGTCGTGAAGAACGTCTCACTTGATGGCCGCGCCGGCTGTACGCTGGAACGGTCTTCGCTCTCACGCGCGGCTTCACGCTCCGCCGTCGTCGATTAAACTCTCACGCTCGAATTGGCGGATTTGAACTCCGCGAGCGTGTCACCCTCCGGACATGGGGGCGTAGCGCCGAAGGCGAGTTTTCCGCCTTGCGCGGTACACTTGTTCGTACCGCCCCTCGGCCAATCTCCTTCTGCCTTGACGCGTGTGTCCGCATGTCGGACAAAAATTCAACTCCTGCCTGTGCGCAGGCAGGGGCCTCGGCGGATCCTCCGCCGGTGCGGAACTTGAACATCCTCCTGTGCACAGGCGTTCGCCTGTGCGCAGGCGAATTCCGTCCGCGGCGCTGCGCTGGCGCGGAAGGCGTTGACCGTGGTCAGCCGTCTCCGTCCAGTCTGTCCGTTCCTTGTCCCTCCGTTGGCGCTTCCGCCGCCGCAACTCCGTCCGTCCAAGGGCGCATCCACCCGTGCCGTCCGCACGGTCCGTACCTGTTGGATTACTCTGGCGGCTCTTCCGACGTACGCGGCGCTGCGCTGGCGCGGAAGGCGCCGTACACTTTCTACCTCACAAGGCGCATTTCTAGGGCCCAAGGCGGATTTTCCGCCGACGCCGAAGTGCCTGTGCGCAGGCGAACGCCTGTGCGTAGGCGGACTTCGCGCCTTCCCTAACCCTACTTCGCCTGTGCACAAGCAAACGCCTTCGTCCGCACATAGGACAAAACTTGATTCCGCCTTCCGCGTAGGCGGAATTCGCGCCTGTGGCGAACTCCTTCCGCCGTAGGCGACCGCCTCCGTTTCTTCCAGTAGCGATATGTCCCTAAGTCCTCGTCCGTTCCAAGCGTTCTTGGGCTCGTTAGAATCAGCGCGTCGAGCTCTTTCCAACGGGACCCTAACTTGGTCAAGGCGCCCGAGGGTTGACCTAATTACGGGGGTTTCCCTACAGCCGCGGACGCAACCTCCGAAGGCGGGTTTTGCGCCTTGCGCCGTAGAGATCCTAACTGCGGAGCTCGCAGGGAGGGTGGTGCCTGTCCTTACTGCGGCACCCCAAATCCCAGATTCTACAAGATCCCTCGAGAATCCCCGCGATCTTCCGGATTCACTCTGTTTTGATGTACCGGAGGCTATTTACAATGCTGCCAGGGTACAGTTTTCCAAAATTGTTTTAATTTCCTCAAAATTGCCAAAAGTGGGGTACCACAACAGCCATAACCTATCGCACATTAAATTTTGGATTCGTCAAATGATGCAATGATAGAATTGGCCATTATGGGCTGTGTACAGTTTTATTGAAACTGAATCTTTCGAGTCCCAAATCGGACCCGGACAGAAAACTTGCACTCTAAACAGCTTGTTAAAGCTGCGAAGAATTATTAACATGCACGCCTTCCTAGCTTCAATCAGAAGGTGCAGCTTCTGATTCGCAACCTCACCATGGGTTCACTGTGCGGCAGTTTCGGCGAATCTGGCCTTCGGCTCTCACTCCTACGGCGCCCATTGCGCGCATGGCTTCGCCGAATTGACGGTCGAACACACGCTCGCTCATCAGCTTTTTGACCAGCTTTCTGGTGCGCCTGTCGTCGAACAGAGACTGATCGGACGTGAACAATCCTTTGTGCTCTGCGAGCCCCTTGTAGTAGTTAGAATCGAACTCACCGGGCGTGATGGTGTCCATGAAGATTTCGAGAGTGGTGTTGAATGTAGCCTGCGGGCACTCTTTCTTCAACTGCTCCGCGTAAGAAGCATTGATCGAAGGATCGGTGAAATGGGTTTCGCTGAAGTTGTAGAGGCGCTCGACGAATTTGTCGCAGTGGCCGACTCCTACAGAGTGGGATCCTGGGGAAAGCTCGTACATTGCCATGAAGAGGAATCTTGTGGTGAGATCAGAAGGATTCGGGATCATTGATTGAACATTGACATGAAAGTCTGAAATTCACAGCAGGCGATGACTAGATTCTAATAGATTTACAATTGCTACTGATGCAGGAGACGGACCTGAGAGAATGACCATCTGCTTCTTGGATAAGCCCCTCCTGGCAAAGGACTCTATGAGCTGAGCAACGTTGAATGTTGGCGGTGGGAGCTCCAGTTCTGCAGCTTTGGCGCAGGAGAAGAAGCCGTCTTTCCTTCCTCCTTGAACGGTCCAGCCCGTTCCATTCAGCTGACGAGACGAACCAGAACCCAGCATCAGAGTTCCAACATGTGGAACTAAATACTAATACTCTCGAAATCCATAGCCTTTGAATAGCCAGAATCTAGGAGAGAAGAACAGGTCTAATCATCGCTATCTCAGATCGAGAGATGCGAAGACATATACATATACAGAAGGAAAACGAATCTGATCTGCATCACATGTTCAGATATTCCTGCTTCATTTCGATTTAGAGAATGTGGATTCACTTCAGCCTCATACCTTGACAGTACTATCGCGAGCTGCGTAGGCCAAAATGTCGGAGCAAGACACAACCCCGGGGCATACAGCTTCTACAGCTTCTTTGGCGGCATCGACCACTTCGTAGCCGATGAGGTTCGAGTTGATGGGAGCGGTTTTCTCTGTGTCGTTTCCATCCAGCAACACCGAGGCGTCGCAGCCCTGCTACCAAGAAAAGTCATCAATGATGAAGAAAGGTATCTATGTAATATCTTGACAAAATTGGAACTTTGATGATGTCACCCCGTACTGTTGCTCTACTGCCTCATGTGTACCATCTCGCAGCCAAACTGCTACTGAATTCAAAAATCTATCCATATGAATTAATCATTCATGACTCACTTCACTTACCTCAACGAAGCAGTCGTGAAATTGCATGCGGATGAGGCCGGCGGCTAGCTTCAGATTTTTGTCCAGCTCAGCGTCCACGGCTGCTTTGATCACAGACTCGGCGTTCGGACACGAGTCCTTGTAAAAGTCATCCCGGAGCAAACTGGCCTGCTCGCTGGAGTCTACTGACATGAACAAGAGCAGAGCCCAGGTCAAGAGTAGAAAGTGACTCGTCAGGGCCGCCATGTCTGCTAGATTGCCCTTAATGGGTATTGTTTCGAAGTTGAAGAATGTCAGATTCGACAGAATAAGAGCATCCGATGAGTCCTCGGGTGAAACTGTTTTCCTCGTCTCTCCTGGGTACTCGTGAGTACTCCTGAGTGAGTCACCTTTTTCACCGACCAAAGGCTGCAGCAGTTTGGAACTGATGCAGGTGGTGGGATCCTGAAAAGAAACCGCTCCCAAACAGAAGTAGTGGGATGATGATAGAGAGGAGCGCAGTGGCTTTAATACATGGCCCTCTCCCGCAAAGATCTGACCAGTTCTGGTTTTAATCGATTTTTGAAAAAAAAAAACAATTTTCACTCACCTTTTGACAACCTTTTGACGTCATCTGAATTCTTATCGTGCTCAATTTTTAAGCATATTTATAGAGGATCAGGAAATATATTGATCTATTAATGTGGTTGAGCTTATTCCTTGAAAAATAAAAAGCTATCGGTACAGTTTGTCAAAGAGCTCCTGCTGTCTTCATCGCAGTGATCAGATCTTGTGCCATACCCAGCGATTTTCAATTCCGAGCGACGCGAGTTTTGCACAGTTTTCAGTATCTTTTGAATCGGGTATCAGGTTCTTTTCTTGCATTTCCTCTACTGCGATAAATAGTTGAAGCCGGTCACGTGCTGAACTCCACCCACCACCACCTGCTGTTAAATCCGAATACCACTCCCGGTCGCCCGAACTTCATATCCTCAAGAACGGATTCGCTGCCGTATATTGTGCAAGTCCTGTATTGTCCCACAACGCATCATTCCATGACGATTAGACGTGTGATGCTATAAAATGCCATCCCATTTTTGTCGTGACAATTTTATTTTGAAGCCTTGTACATCTGTGCATCAAAGAACTCACTTGTAGGTGGTCAAAGTTACTGTCGACATATATCACCTGTTCTCACTAACAGTGCAGAAAGCTTTGTGGCCGACCTACTGGAAGAAGAACCTGCTAGACTCTCACTCAACCTGTCCAGTAAAAATCATCAAAGATTCGATTTCATATGCTCAGACGTTCCTCACTAGATTCGCATGCTATGAAAGGTCAATCATCATTGGCGTGGGCTTTAGCAATCAGCTACTGGGATACAGATACTCGCATAGACCCCGTTTCCAACCCCAGTCGTGAGAGTCATCATGAAAAAACGTGGGAGAAGAGGGCTTCTCAACGAGACCGTAGAGTTTGATATTTTGGTCAAGCAAAAGCTAATTGAACATTGTCAAGCTCTAGCTGGAACTGAATCAACTATAGCTGAGGCTCTTGTAGCAAAATGTTGCGAGGACATTGCACTCACTCATCTATGGTCGAAGCTGGCATCACGTTGTTGAGAAGTGGAACAATACAGGACCTGCACAAACTTACGGCAGCGAATCCGCTGCAGAGGATATACATACAGTCCGGAGTGGTCTTCGGATTCAAGAGCGGGTGGCGGCGGGTGGAGTTCAGCACGTGACCGGCTTCAACAAGACAGCAAGAGCTCTTGCACAAACTGTATCGTCATAGATGGTGGGACATTATTTGTTTTTTACTGTTTTTTTTAAGAATTAGCTCAGCCACAATAATGTACCAATGCAATTCCTGATCGTGTAGAAACATGCATGACACTAGTGAGCACGTGAAGAGTCAAGATGACGTCAACATGTTGTCAACAGCTTATTCCGACATCATAATTCTCAAAAATCTATTCAAGCCAAAAATTGCTCAAATCATTGCTTCACGGGAGAGGGCAATGTAAAAAGCCACTGCGCTCCTCTCTATCATCATCCCACTACTTCTGTTTGGGAGCGGTCTCTTTTCAGGATCCCACCACCTGCATCAGTTCCAAACTGCTGCAGCCATTGGTCGGTGAAAAAGGTGACTCACTCAGGAGTACCCAGGGGAGACGAGGAAAACAGTTTCACCCGAGGACACATCGGATTCTCTTATTCTGTCGAATCTGACATTCATCAACTTGGAAACAATACCCATCAAGGGAAATCTAGCAGACATGGCGGCCCTGACGAGTCACTTCCTACTCTTGACCTGGGCTCTGCTCTTTGTTCATGTCAGTAGACTCCAGCGAGCAGGCCAGCTTGCTCCGAGATGACTTTTACAAGGACTCGTGTCCGAACGCCGATACTGTGATCAAAGCAGCCGTGGACGCTGAGTTGGACAAAAATCTGAAGCTAGCCGCCGGCCTCATCCGCATGCAATTTCACGACTGCTTTGTTGAGGTACATGAAGTCAATGATCGATGACAAATTTATATGGATAGATTTCCGATTCTCAGTAGCAGTTTGGCTTCTAGATATGGCACATGAAGCTGTAGAGCAACAGTGCGGGGTGACATAATCGAAGTTCCATATTGTCAAGATATTACATCGATTCCTTTCATCATCATTTCTTCGGAGCAGGGCTGCGACGTCTCGGTGTTGCTGGATGGAAACGACACAGAGAAAACCGCTCCCATCAACTCGAACCTCATCGGCTACGAAGTGGTCGATGCCGCCAAAGAAGCTGTGGAGGCTGTATGCCCCGGGGTTGTGTCTTGCTCCGACATTCTGGCCTACGCAGCTCGCGATAGTTTTGTCAAGGTATGAGGCCGAAGTAAATCCAGATACATCGAACTGAAGCGGGAATATCTGAACATGTGATGCAGATCAGATTTGTTTCCCATATATATAAGAATTGTCTTCTGTACATCTGACATAGCTGTCGAAAAATTAAATGAGCGATGCGTCCACATTACTTCTCTACACATTCTGATTATTTAAAGGCTATGGATTTCGTAAGTATTTTTGTTTAGTTCCACATGTTTAACATCTGATGCTGGGTTCTGGTTTGTCTCGTCAGCTGAATGGTACGGGCTGGGCCGTTCAAGGAGGGAGGAAAGACGGCCTCTTCTCCTGTGCCGAAGTTGCAGAACTGGAGCTCCCACCGCCAACATTCAACGTTTCTCAGCTCATAGAGTCCTTTGCCAGGAGGGGCTTATCCAAGAAGCAGATGGTCATTCTCTCAGGTCCGTGTCCTGCATCAGGCGCAATTGCAAATCTATGAGTAATTAGGCATCTCATACTCTGAATTTCAGACGTGCATTTCAATGCTGAATGAATGATCTCGAATCCTATTGATCTCACCGCAAGATTCCTCTTCATGGCAATGTACGAGCTTTCTACAGGATCCCACACAGTAGGAGTCGGCCACTGCGACAAATTCGTCGAGCGCCTCTACAACTTCAGCGAAACCCATTTCACCGATCCTTCGATTAATGCTTCTTACGCGGAGCAGTTGAAGAAAGAGTGCCCGCAGGCTACATTCAACACCACTCTCGAGATCTTCATGGACACAATCACGCCCGGTGAGTTCGATGCTAACTACTAGAAGGGGCTCTCGGAGCACAAAGGATTGTTCACGTCCGACCAGTCTCTGTTCGACTACAGGCGCACCAGAAAGCTGGTCAAAAAGCTATTGAGCGAGCGTCAGTTCGAGCGTCAGTTCGACCGTCAATTCGGCGAAGCTATGCGCGCAATGGCGCCGTAGGAGTGAGAGCTTCGGCTCTCACTCCTACCTACTCGGCCACATTCGCCGAAACTGCCGCACAGTGAACCCATGGTGAGGTTGCGAATCAGAAGCTGAACCTTCTGATGGAAGCTAGGAAGGCGTGCATGTAAACAATTCTTCGCAGCTTGAACAAGCTGTTTAGAGTGCAAGTTGTCTGTCCGAGTCCGATTTGGGACTCGAAAGATTCAGTTTCAATAAAACTGTACACAGCCCATGATGGCCATTTCTATCATTGCATCATTTGACGAATCCAAAATTTAATGTGCGATAGATTCTGGCTGTGATGGATGGATGTATGGCAAGCTTTAGCATGTGAAGGACCTCATTGGATCTGAAGAATATTGTTGTTGATAAGTTTTCATTGGTCACCCGAAGTGTCGTCAAATACATTTGCTGCTCTTCATCTTCATCTTTTCTATTTAAATCTGTGGTCTATATATACATTAAGCTTACCTCATAACAAGTGTTCTGTCGGAGTCCGATTTTTGGAACCAAACCCTGCAAACCCAATAAAACTATACACAGCCTATGAAGGCGCTTTCTTTTGGTCAGAATTGATATGTTGTTGATTTTTCTGTATGATTCTATCCACATCTCCTCAAAGAGTTAATGAGCTGTATATGATGAAAATTGCTCTTCAAAGCCAACATACAGTCATTTTTAGTCCTCATATGCAGTCTCCCTCATTATCCTAAGACACCCTATGGTTTTTGAAAAGAAACCATAGGTAATTCATTGATGTTTTGTGGAAATCCTATTATAATTTCATGATCTAATGCTGTACATGTGTATACTATATTACCGGTGCATGTGCACAATCAATGAAGAATGGTTCTTGATTCCAAAGAATCGCACGAAGAAGCCAAGTATCCAAAACAAAAGCTAGTAGTGTTCTATGCCAAAAGAGTCTCTATCTTTGGAATATAATTGATCTCATGTTACTCTAACATAAATGGTGTTATCAAATTCTACTTCTTCAAATTAAAGTTGCATATACTAGAACTATGTGCTTTGAGTTTTGCCCATGTACTTCTTTTACAAGTAGTCTGCTATAACCTTCAACATGTCCACCTGTTTGTTGAAGTAAGAGGTCCTGATGGATTTCTGTACGAGAATCACACACCGATGTACATGGTTCAGCTCCACGGCCGAGATAAAAGTTTCATTAAAGTGAGAATGTTACATCAACACTCCATAGCCGAGCTCTCTGTTATCTCTACCATAGGTGTACTTGTGAGACTAAACTGAAATGTGCTCACCCTAGGGTTAAGTATTACAAAGCCTAACTAGAGTTCAAGACTAACTACGATTAGACTAAATATTGTTAACAAGACGCATGTTAACTGTGGTAACACACTTTTTGTTTTTTTTGCAGAATTTAAACAATTTTAGAAAACTAGTACCGAAGCAGTGTTTGTAGTTAGAAAAGGGTACGATAAATAGAGTGGATTGATGAGATCGTCACGAGGTCACGAAGAATCACGTAGTCGGATGTACCAACGCCAATGTCTTCGACGCCTTCGGCAAAAGCTCCTTTTCTGAGGTGTCTCTACTCACGCGCTTCCAGCGTATAAGGAAGCTACGCTTCCGGCGCAGACACCTCAGGAGGAGGTTTTGCTAAAGACGTCAGGAGAAGGGCCCGGACCTCTGAAGGCGTCCGACCATGAGTGCGCCTTCGGCGATGCGCCGCTGGCGCGGAAGGGGAAAACCTTCATAACGATCGGAATACACGGTAGATCCAGTTGGATGAAGTCACATTAGAAAGAGCTCGGGACGCTCGTTCTAACGAGCCCAAGAGCGTCGGAGATGGATCAAGGACGGAGAAGTTATGAGCGTCGGAAAACTCGTAGCCGGACATGCGCCGTTCGCGCTAGGGTTCACAGCCGGAAAGGATTCCCGTACGCCCTCGGCGATGCGCCTTCGGCGGGATCGCGCGCTCATAGGAGGAAACCAACTTAGAGTCGGAAGCGCCTTTGGCGGCTGTTCATGGAAGGAAAGCGCCGGTCGGATGTACGCCTCCGACGTGGCGCTGACGGCCGGATGCGCTGGCATGAGTTGCGCTGGCGGATATGCGCCGTCAGCAATGGACGAGGCATAAAGGACAAAATAAGCGGTACGACTGCGCGCCGGCGTAATTCGCTCCGACTAGATGAGCGCCTCCAGCAAGGCGCCGACGGATAAGGAACGCACCAGCGGCGACACGCCTCCGGTGATGGACGGGTTGGGAAAAGACAACATAGCAGACGTATACCCTGCGGCGGACTCGAGTCCGGAAGGTGGCGGCGGCGGGAGAATTCAACATTCACGCATGCGAATGCGCGCAGTGCGGAGACGTGAATTCCCGCATGCAAAGGGCGAACCGTTAGGCCATATAGCCGGCTGCGTACGTTGTAACCAGTAAGAACGTTGGACGTTCTTGAATTCGGAGAAGAAAAGACTGCGCTCCAGTCTCATTCTCTCATTCTTGATTTTGCGATTTCCAGTTTCCAAGATTACGCGCAAGGGCGGAGAGACCTGCAGTGAGAAGAGAGAGTGCGGAGACGAGTTGCGCGAGGATCTTGACAGGCCTTGGAGAGAATTGCGAGTAGAGAACTTGAGCGTGAGCGAAGAGAGAGTGAGCAGTCAGTGCTTGAGCGACCGACGCGCAGTGGCGATTGTGAGAGAGCGAGCGAAAGGGAGAACGTTTGTGTGTGCAGGAAACGCAATGTCGAAGGTTCCCCAGCTGCGAGTGTCTCCACTCAGGGTGCCGCAGATCGGTCTACGCGCATTTCAAGATGTGCTGCTGGGGCTGAAGCTCGATTTTCTCCTGTGGGGGTGGAACTGGACATGTCCGGAGATGGTGCGCGAGTATCTGCAGGAGAGACACAAGCCCTCTCGCGGATTCCGTCCACATCCAGAAAGATGGGACATTTGTAACTGGGCGCAGGTGTTGGGCAGGTGTGCCGGCGAGGAAGGGGATCTCCTCTTCGAGGCCGATAGCGTGAAGGTGTCCCAGGAGGAAGAAATCTCCTACAATGAGCTCTTCAAAGTTGCCAGGCATCCCAAGAACGGTTTCCGGACACGAGATTACAAAGATCGATTGCGGAGAAATGTCGCGACTGCATTGCTGCAGATATTGCAGCCGACCAAGACCGCTTACATGCATGGTTGGCAGGTAGAATTTGTGGAGCTAGTGTTGTCAGGAGCTCCAGTGCATTGGGCACGGCTCCTGTGGAAGGTGACGCGCCAACATGCGCAAGAAGAGAAAGGAGGAACCCTCAATCATCTATCGCCTTACTTGATCGTGTTTTATCGGGCGATGGGATGTTTGACAAATTCTGAGAAAACACGGTTTCCGCAGCTGACCCGGAGCTATCCAGGTAGATACTCACGGGAGGCCGAAGTAGACACGGATCCGGACGAGGAACCTGCCAGTCCGCCTCCGGCTCTGGCTCCAGCAAGAGTAGCAGAAGAACGTCCAAGTGAGCGCATTCCACGAAAGCGGAAGTGGGATGAGAGACCTGAGGACAGGCAGCCGGAAGTGCCAGCTGCGCCGACTCGTGGTCGGTCCAACCTCGAGCCTCACAGTCGACCAAAACAGAGGGCACGCAAAATGCCAACTGGTACTGAGGAGACCGGGCGTACTCCGATCCGGCGGAATCTCACACAGGAGGAGATAATCGCGCAGATTCTAGGGAAGACGACAAATACCTCTGCACAGAAGGCCCCAATGCCTTCGGGAGGAGATGGACGGACTGACAGTCGGCCGACTACGAGTCGGGCGACTGAAGGCCGACAAGCGGAAGGAAGGCCAACTGAACGGCGCGTTGAACCGGACAGCAGGCCGGAAGCAGAAGAGAGTTTGGCTGACGAGCCAACAACCCTCAGAGGGTCGTCTTCGGCGGAAGGCACTTCTGGGAAAACGCCACCAGCAAGCAGGCCAAGTGGAGTCAAGACGCGCAGGGTGTATCCGACTCCCAGTCGGACAACTGCTGGTCGGCCGATTGCGAGTCGGACAACAGAGAGTCGGCCGGATTCGCCGACTGCGAGACGGACAGGGCCGGCGACCAGTGTGCGGACGCCTTCGGCGGACGCACCTTCAGCAAAGACACCTTCCGCGCAGATTGCGCCGGAAGGGCAGGCAGCAGAAGCGGGCGGTGCAAAAGTGACAAGAGTCACTGCGGCGTCGACCCCTTCGGAGACCGAAGATCGAGCCGGAACAGGGGCTCAAGCAGTGGGATCTCCCACTGCCCTGGATATTTTAGCAGGCAGTGGAGCAGCAGTCGCAGTGGAAGCTGCTGCGCGCCACAGTTCCAGGGAGTCGCCAAGGGATTCAGTGGCGACTGAAATCCTCGAGACTGAGGATGAGACGAGCTCGTAAGAGCAGGAAGCGGATTCGGTGCAGAAAACGCCAATAGGGGTGTTGTGCGAACAGATAGTTCCACTCCTGCGATATCTGGATCGCAAGACATCCAAGTACGCGGGTACTGGAAAACCGCAGTCTTATGTGGAGACTATCAGGCGAAGGACGAGGAGCAAGGTGGCAAGGTGGGCCTCTAGGTGCCAAGTATATGTGGATAGGAACACCGCCCTCCGACAACACCTGGCGGTCACACAGAAGCTATACCAAGCCTTGCAGCAGCAGAGGGAGGATGTGTGGTACCCCACTTTTGGCAATTTTGAGGAAATTAAAACATTTTTGGAAAACTGTACCCTGGCAGCATTGTAAATAGCCTTCGGTACATCAAAACAGAGTGAATCCGGAAGATCGCGGGAATTCTCGAGGGATCTTGTAGAATCTGGGATTTGGGGTGCCGCAGTAAGGACAGGCACCACCCTCCCTGCGCGCTCTGCAGATAGGATCTCTACGGCGCAAGGCGCAAAACCCGCCTTCGGAGGTTGCGTCCGCGGCTGTAGGGAAACCCCCGTAATTAGGTCAACCCTCGGGCGCCTTGACCAAGTTAGGATCCCGTTGGAAAGAGCTCGACGCACTGATTCCAACGAGCCCAAGAACGCTTGGAACGGACGAGGACTTAGGGAGTTATCGCTACTGGAAGAAACGAAGGCGTTCGCCTGTGCACAGGCGAAGTAGGGTTAGGGAAGGCGCGAAGTCCGCCTACGCACAGGCGTTCGCCTGTGCACAGGCACTTCGGCGTCGGCGGAAAATCCGCCTTGGGCCCTAGAAATGCGCCTTGTGAGGTAGAAAGTGTACGGCGCCTTCCGCGCCAGCGCAGCGCCGCGTACGTCGGAAGAGCCGCCAGAGTAATCCC